ACCACCTCCACCTGCAGCGGCCGTGTTTTAATTTGATGCTGCTTCTGAAATGACTGATATCTTTTTGATAAATGTCATTATTCACGCTGACACAATTCCTGGCAACCTGCTGCCAGTCATCACACCTCTCTGTATATCTGTGTAATCTGAAAAAAAGGGAGAGACGGTGTAAAGAGATGTTTCTCTCTGCTGTCCCTCCTCCATACCACTCCTCATCCTTCTAATAACTGTCGTCCTTCTCCTCCTCCTCCTCCTCCTCCGTTTGCTGATAATCCTCCAACATGAGAATAAATAATTCACCGCTGTCGGCTCACTGCCTCATCACTGCAGCTTTTTGTGTTTCCTCCTCCCTGGATTTAAAAGTTTACATCCTAGATTTATGTCCGGCCTTCTAACTCTACAGGAGGACATAAATCTGGTTCTTCTGGCTCTCACTCAGGGGGGGGAGAAGACTCGTCTCCCTCCGCAGTGAAAAATAGTCCCTGCAGGATGAATTTAACGTCAGTCTGTTTCCTCTCCTCTGTTCTGTTTTGTGGTAATCCCTTTAACATGAGGACATTTGCCGTGTCAACCCCCCCGCCCCCTCAGATGAACTAATGGACGCCTGTTTCGGATGCCTCGGATTTGACAGATTGCTGCGTCCTCATGAGACCCTGGACGGGATGTGATTACACTGACAGGTCACCTGATCACATCTCTGCACGTGTGAAGTGTTTGGACACAAATCTGGTTTCAGGACAGTGTGTTTGTGACGGGAATAACAGCAGCTTAGGTCATAATATAAGTCCTTAAAGAGATGGAGACATTTGCAGATTGTAGAACGGAGAGAAAAACAGACCCAGAAAACAAAAAAAGAGGTTTTCATGGAGATACTAGAGATGGAGCCGTACTGATGTTTAATCAGCTGAGAGAGCAGGTCAGAGGAGATTTAATGTCAACATAATAACGACAATATCACGTTTTTTTTCTAGGATTAAATCAACCTTTAAGAAATTAAATAAAAACTGAATTTCAAAAATAAGAAAATATCGAGTAAATAGTTAAAGACGATCAAACACAGAGAAGCTCCAGCTGAAAGTCTGACCTCCGCTCGGATCTTCGAGGAAATATGGTGAAAATAATTCAGCGTCTTGCAAATTTTAACAAGTTTAATGCTTCAGCTTGCAGAGATAAGAACCAATCAGATGTTTGAATCGATTAAAGTGCACAAACAACAAATGAAGCAACGCGAACCGAGCAAACGACAGCGCAGGAACACCGAAGGAGCGTAAAGCGCCGAAAACTTCATCCCCCCTGTTCTTCGTGTTTTTCCAAACGACTGTCTCAGAGCGTTCTGGGACTCCTGGCGTTTCGGATACATTTAAGTAATCATTATGGAGTGTTAGTTTACCTGATGGTCTCAGATTTAAGAGTAAATATGACGAGGTTGAGCGTGTGTCAGTATGTAGGAATGAAGCTAATTCTCCTCCTCTTCATTTCTTTATTTGTAAGAGTTAAAAATCTGAACTCCAGCGAATCACTGAACAGCCGATTAAAATGGAGATCCACGTGTTACTTAAGCTAACGACAGACCTGCAGAGGTTCGCTAAAGAAGGCACGAATATTACACGATAAAAACTTGGAACGTAGATTCATACGAGTTAGATGATCCAGCTTCTACCGAGACAGTGGGACTTAGTCTACGTTCTCTCTGCAGGTTCTGATGCGCAATTCAGGTTTTTTGTTAAATCCGATCTTTTTATGCGGTCGTTCACTTTACAACAATAATTGCGTCCGTGAAGTGACTCTCATGAACACAAAGCACAAACTGCTTCCCGTGCCTGTTTGTGTTGTCGAACAATGGTGACGTTTGTCACATATTGATGACGTAAAGGTTGGATGAACCCGACCTGAGCGTCCACACTGCAGTCACATCAGATACATATCTGATTTATATCCACATACAGAAGAGGCCTGGGTCGGATTAGAACCAATCAGAACAGACCTGTTCACACTTAGATGAAAAAATCAGATATGAGTCACAGATGGTTAAAAAATCAGAATGACCTGCAGTCTGAACATGAACTCATATCTCACATTCTCCTAAACTTTAATTTGATCTTTTGATGGAATAAACGATCAGAAACTCAAAACTCAGACTAAATAAACAGAACCTTTAAAGTTGTGAATTTACTCCGAACTTTAATAACTTTTTGTCCGTTAAAAAGTCGTTCTTCATCTCACAAACACCTAAAAGTTAAACCCAAATTGAAGAGAGTTTCTGTTCCTTCACAAAGTTGTTGATGCAGACAGGAGCAAAGATTGAGGAAAGTTTGAGCGTCAGTGTGAGAGCAGCTACAGGTCACCGAGAGGACTCCTCATACATGAGAGTCTGCGAACACAACTCCTCGATTTGTCTCCTCTAATGCACTGGAAAGCTGTGTGTGTGTGTGTGTGTGTGTGTGTGTGTGTGTGTGATGTGCTGGAAACCCGGTCTGTGTGACGGGTCTTCCCAGGATACCAGGCAGTCAGCTGAATGTACACACCGACTCGTGTGCTCTCACGTTTGAGCGGGCAAACACACTCCAGGCCGGCACGTGTGCGCTCGCCGAGGCTATATGACCCTCCGGAGGAAAAACATGAAAATATAGAAAAAATAAACGTCTCAGCCTGAGACTTTAATATACGGCCATGAAGCCGACCGTTTACCTTTTAAGGTCAGCGCACCAGGACACACGCTCTGCAGACACATATGCATGAATGCAGGTGGAGAAACATGCGGAGAGCGCGCACGCTGAGACCGTCTCTGCACGGGAGAGGGTGGGCGTGTGTGCAACCCCAGGTGACCTCACATATGCTGCGGCTTTAAATAGAAAGAGAGCGGCACACTGACACGCTCGTCACACACTGACGGGGAGGAAACATTATCTGCTCTGAGCCAACTGTGAGTAAGACACGGGCGTGACAAATGCGACGCCATTCGCCACTGTACAGACTCTCCTTTTGGGTTTCACGTTAAACATTTCAGACGACAAAATCGACGTGTTTGGAGAGAAGGTCATTCACCCTGAGAACTAGATAAACACATACAGATATGAAAGAAGCCTGATGTACTTAAGAAACGGATTTTACAGAGTTTATAGATCCGTAAACAAAGAGATAACATTTCTACAATGAATTTTAGAAACTAGAGAATCTACGTCTTTAAAAATCGATCTAATCTGACTGGATTACTGTGATGGGATTAAATGGACTTTTTTTAATCTAACTTTTTCAACGGGGCATTGCGCAAAAAATGATGATGCGTCAAACCAATGTTGATGCTAATTATTGACAAACCATAGGCTGGCATATAAAAAAGAAGGAAATTCCTGCTCAGCATCTAAAATATGGAAAATAAGTCTAAATTCCTTTTTTTTCATTAAAAATAACAGTAACGTCATAGAGTCAAACTGTCATTTAAAGGGTTAAAATTCTGAAAATAAATTAATATTTGATTGATATGATCAGGAATGAAGTTGAATAAAAGATTTAAGCAAAAAAAGGGGAAAAAATATTAATCTATGATAATTTTATCGCACTTTTAGGAGACAGACATTTTTGTCATCTAAGGACCTCAGTGTAACTTTTTTAGAAATTGGACAATACATCAAACATAATAATTAAAATAATTAATGTTGTTAATATTTGGCACATCATAGACCTTGATAAAAAAAATAAAGAAACTCCTGCCCTGCATCTAATATCTAGAAAAAAACTTCAAATTCATTTTTTTCATTAAAAATAACAGTAACGTCATCGAGTCAAACTGGCATTTAAATGGTTAAAATTCCTAAAATGAATTAATATTTGATAGATATGATCAGGAATGAAGTTGATCAAAAGATTTAAGCAAAAAAAGGTGGAAAAAATATTAATGTTTAAAATTTTTATCGCACTTTTAGGAGACGAACATTTTTGTCATCTAAGGACCTCAGTGTAACTTTTAGGGTTAAAAAACTGAATTTCACAGAGTTTCTAGATTCGTAAACAAAGAGATAATATTTCTACAGTCTTATGCAAAGAAGTGAATTTTTGAAACTACAGAATCTATGTCCTTGAAAATCGATGTAATCTGACTGGATTAGAGTAAATCATAATTTCTTATGACTTCTAATGAACTCAGTTTTACAGAAATGTCTGTTGTTCTCAAAGTAAAAGAATCGGACATAAAAAGCGACAGCGACCGTTAACCAGACGGTAAAATTGGTGTATTTATGTTTGAAGTAACACAACAGTCCCTGCAGGCTTCGCTCTGCGTGATCCCTGGTTTGTAAATCAGATTTATAGAAATGTCAGGAACGCGACGTCCTCGGTGTCCACGGATCACTTTAGCTTCACTGCAGGAATCTCTGCTGAGTCCAGGAGACAGAAACCGGTCTGTTAGAAAAAACAGGTTAGTATTTGGAGGTAATTTAAGAAAGGCAAGAAGCAAAACACTAATAATCTCAAAATCAGTAAGAAGTTAGCCCAACTTTCGACGTAGAGTTAAATAAATCCATGAGTGTTTATAAAGTTAACTGAAAAACTGAAGAAACTCTCAGGAGAATCTGGACGGTGCAGGATGCAGACTGCAGCTGTATGTGAGCCGCTGGTTTCCTCTGATCCAGGAGGTTCCTGAAGAAGTCCTGCTGCTATCGGACTTCAAGTCACACGTCTGTCTGTTTGACCTCGACTGCACAGATCCTGGTACAACAGGAAATGAACTTTTTGGAGGGAAAATCAGAAAGCGTTGATGTTGTAGCAAACAACACCGACATTAAAAACCTTTCAAACATGAAGTCGAATCACCCAGGCTGCTAATACAACATTTACGGTACTTATATTTAATTTCAGAGTGACGACAACAACAACAGCGGATGATGCTGCTAACTCGTACTCGGCCAAGCCTTCGTTAGAGCGTCTCTCCAGGAGGTGGTTTAGAGTTTCAGCAGGTTTATAAGAAGTCATAGAAAAGGCAGAAACTGTCCTGACTCCACCCGTCATCCAGATTCATCAGGTGTAGAAGCTGTCGTCTCCTCCTCCTCCTCCTCTGGATCACTTTCTCCGTCTAATTTCTGAAACGGAGGAGAGATGATGGCGGCGGCGGCGGCGATGATGATCACACCTGTCAAGCTCTCTGTATATAAACGCACCGACGTGCGACCTGGATATAGGACGACATGTAAAGAACTCAAACATCCAGAGAAACTGCAGAGTCGGAGAGTTTGTGTTCAGTCACGTCTCTCGTCTATTAGTATTCCTTTTGTTTCTCGTCTCGCTTCATCCGCTCTGGTTTGTTCTTCCTCCATCCTGTCTGCCTCCTCCTCCTCTTCCTCCTCTTCCTCCATCACTCGCTCTCCTCACAACCTGATCTCTCCTCTCTTTTTCCGTCTGCCCTCATTCTCGAATCTTTCATTTCCTGACACCAAACACTTTTTTTTCCGTACGTTTTCATCAGTTTTTCGTACTTTTCTCTTCGTTCCTCGCCAAAGCAGAAGTTGACTAATGAGGTTTCTCCACTTTTTCTCCTTTTAAAACTGCTGACATGTTTTTCTATGAGTCAAAACATCAACAAATTAATTGAGGCGATTAGAGGCAATTGCACCTTTCAATCCCACATCTGTGGTTCGCTTCCTCCGCCAGTCGTTTTAACAGTCAGAGAGCGATTTCTCGCCGTCAGTTTCCTTCCTCATAAACTCTGAAATCTTCAGCTCTGTGTGCGAAAGCTGAACGCTTTTCTTCTTTTGGCCTCCACCAGACCTCTGAAGTTTTCTCATTTTCATACCCATCGGTGATCCAGCGAGAAGCAAAGGTCCAAAACAGAGGGAAGACTGGACTGGGATCAGTCCAGTCGATCCCCAACCCTGATCATCTCTCTGCAGGAAGAGATCGACCTGACGGAGGAACGTCAGAGTTAAAGACGTTAATATGATGGAAGCTTTAAGGTGAGACCGTGAGGCCGATGTTTCAGCTCAGAGAGTTTTACAGAGAAACTTCTTCTCCAAACAGAGTTGAGTCAGTTACTCGTTCAAACGTCGAGTTTTACAGCAGAAACAAAAACGTCCAGAACCTACAAGGGAGAATTAGGGCCACATTAAGACTTTAAGATTAAAGTCGTTAATTTATGAGAATAAAGTCGTTACAAACAAGAAGAAAGAAGAAAGTCGTAATAAAATCAAAAAACATTAAAACTTTATTCTCGTAAATGAACGACTTTAATCTCGAAATCAGATTTTTTTTTCTTAATGTGGCCTGATACTTCGTCGTAGAAATCTGCCACCAAAAATGTTAAAACGTTTAAATTATGAATAACTGACGTATTTACATTCGGTGAATTTTCAGCTACAAATTACACGAACATGCAGTGCAAATTCAGCAAGTAGTTCGGCAAAATACATCAATTCACGACACGTTCGATGCCCCGCTCGCTGATTCACGAGAGTTGAAGATTCTTCATGATGTACGACAGTGAGAGGTTACGTGAAACCATGAAAATGAACTCACTCAGAGGGAAGTCAAATTTTCCGAGAAGTCGTGAAAACGTAACAAACCTTCCGACGTCGTTGACATCGGCCCCTTTGATGAAAAGTCTGCCGTGGAGGAAACCTCGACTTCCTTGATTAAATTCACGCACTTTTGTCGACGCGCTTCTGCGGGACACTGAGGCTGTGGCTTTGTCGAGGTTGAGTCAGCATTTCCAGTTTGGCGAACGCCATCGTTTGGCTCGTAGATCGAGATCCGATGTTTTCACAGCGTCTAAAGTTTGGATGTGACTCTGAAGAGGAGAAATCTCTGCAGCTGATCCGAACATCTGGAGGACAGACTGGAACCAGCAGAGAGGCGACGATGTTCCTGAACAAACTTTTGGATTTATGACCGTTCTTCATTTTCCTCTCGTCTCTTTATTTCACCTTTTGTCCCGTCAGCCTCTCACTTTCATCAAATCCTCTTTTCCTTCCCCTCCATCCTGCCGCTCTCTCTCTCTCTCTCTCTCTCTCTGTCAAAGGAGGTCCCTCACACAATTGGATCCAGTCTATTGAGGGCTCGCTCGCTCGCTCGCTCGCACAAAGACTGTATTCAAACCTCTGTGCTATTTTTCAGGAACAGGGCTCGGCGTACACTTGCACTTACCGTTTACTGTGTGTGTGTGTGTGTGTGTGTGTGTGTGTGTGTGTGTGTGTGCGTATACAGTATGTGTTTGTAGTGTGTTTGTGTAAATGTGCGCGCCCTCCCTCACCTGAATACAGACCCCATTCAAGTCAACAGCAGAGACACACAAGAGGGTCAAAGCTTTTAAACAATCACGCTGGAATTGTTCATGGAAATCGAGGCGGAATGAACCTTTAAATGCAGCAGAAGTAAAACCATAAACACACAAACAAACGCTGTGAAGTATAAAACACAAACTTTCTCACTGCTGATCATCCTCAAAGACTCATTTAGGTCTGAAGTCGATCTGATTCAGAGTTTTTCTGTTTGCTAAACTGTAAAAAGTAACTCAAGTAAAAGTCTGTCAGTTCACTCTTCCTCCTTCTGTAATCGACTCACAAACACATAATTGCTGCGTTCCAGTTGTTCTCAGAAGTCGGGATTTCCGAGCTCTGAGTTGGAAAGTCGGATTTCTGACTCGAGAGACCTGACGATCCTCCCCAACCCCAACCTGACGACAATGTCATAATCCAAGATGGCAGCGCATCAACAGAGACCCCCAAATCTCCACCTTCATCCTGATCGTCTCCTAAAAGGTCGTATCCTCCGATCGTAGCTGATCGTAACCATTCAAGTTAACGTGTCAATTTACACCGACTTCTTTCCGTTCCTCTGCGGATCGCCGAACTGTGAACACGGTGCTGTGGTGTTTGTACGTGTAAGATACTGGGCTATGGGTCATTTATAACTCGTATATATAACAACAACTAACGGCGGCAAACAGTTGGCGTCCAGCTTGGTTTTCAGGGTGTTACGTCATTCCCAGCTCCGACATCCCACTTCTGAGGTAACTGAACGCATCAATAATCAATAAAGATCCAGACATGTCTCTAAACCTTAAAGCCGTACAATCGCGCTCAAGTAGTTTGTGATCCATCTTACCGTGTTAAAGCGAGTTTGGGTCCTTCTTCTTTCTCAGGTGAACTTCAGCGTTTAAATGTTTTTAATTCTGATCTTTGCCGCTTTAAAAACTTGAAAACACACAAACTACTTTTAATCACCTCACTGAATATTTGTCCGACGGTTCTGACTTTACTTCGGGGGAAAATATTGATCGATTTTGATTTCAATGTCTCGATTATCTCCTCCAGTTTTTTTTAGATCTCCTTCATGAGACAAACATGTTTTCACTTATTCGCTCGATCGGACGGATGGCGACACGGCGGCTAACAAAAGTCGCTGACGTGACTTTCTTTTCTTTCTATCGGAGACTCTCAAAGATCGAGGGATTGTTCGGTATCTGAAGAAGATCTCCAAACTCGAGGAGGATAAACCTGTACAGCTCTGTTTGTTAGTGCAGGAGCAGACGCAGTGAGTGTGTGTGTGTGTGTGTGTGTGTGTGTGTGTGTGTATATTACCATCCGATAGAGTGTGTTTCAGTGTGTGTTGGCGCTCCTGTCAGCTCCGCTCCTCTTGTCAGGCCACGTTTGGACAAGTGCTTCAGCGTTTCCCTCCTTTCTTGCTGTCATGTTGATTCTCGGCTGTATACCTTTATGTTCTGCCGTCGTATTAACCTATATTAACACGGCGAGGCGGCGTACAGAAACAGCCTGACTCCTCCTCATCAAAAGACGCCGCAGCCGTTTGAGTCTGTCACTTCTAACTAGCTGGCGTGTTTTTCCTTTACATTCCCAACGCGCTGACGGGTCGGCGGAGCAGGATGCAAACTCCCCTGTGTAATGTCTGCCGGTTTGAAGAGCGATTGTTGCATCGAGGAGGTGGATCTGTGCGAGCGGCAGCGGCGGCTTTACACCGTATATCATTACAGCTTTAACCTCAGCGGGTTAACAGACGGCTGCAGTTCAACTCTCAAAGACAAACGCACACATTTGTGCAGCTTTAAGGAGCGAGGCGTCAGTGTGCAAACATGCAGTCATCTGTTTCCGTCTCTGTAAATGCATAAAAAAAAAACAGATTCTGCATAAAGACTCAAACACTTGAGATGTGAACGAGTGTCGACACTCAGCCTCGTTCAAGAGACTCAATCTGAGGCTGAGAGTGAGCGGTTCAGTCAAGACACGTCTGAGCGCCGAGGATTCAGAATATACATTTCAGAGACGACTGTTCACACGTGGAGGTCAGACGTCTTCAGTTAAATCGTTTCATCAACCCTGAAAAACCCGAGGACGATTAAAGATCTTAGAAATATGTCTTTGTTAGTTTGAACCTCAAACTCGATGTGATCGTCAAACACAGATTATTTAAAGTCGGTATTTTCTCACTCAGCGGGTAAATTTCACCTGTGAATGTCACGACCACGCAAACATTTTTGAGTGAATGTCAGCCGACGAGAACGACAAAAACGTGCGGAAATAAATTCAGCAAAGTGGTCACGAATTCTCGTCAATCACACGAACAACTTCTCCTTCACTCTCATTTCATTCGTTTATGTGGGAGAACTGAAAAGTCGGAGGAATCCTAGAGTGTCGTGAGGAATAAACGCACTCGTCTTTTACCGTGTTTCTCGCTAGTAAAGACTTTATTCACGTTAATTAACGACTTTAATCTCGAAATCTTAATTTTCTTAATGAGGCCCTCAAACTCTGTCGTAGGAACGTGCCACTAAAAATGTTAAAACAGTTAAATTATGTATTATTCCCATTCAGTAACATCTCAGAAATAGGTGTTACAAATGACACGAATGTGCAGCGCAAAGTAGTTTGGTGAAATACAATAATTCGTGACATGTTCAATGCCCTGATGAAAACGTGCAGAACAAATTCAACAAAATGGTCAAGAGTTCTCGTACAAAATAAACGCACTAGTGGAGGTTCATCTGTGAGGAAAACAGAAGAAACTGATGGTGGCGTTGGACAGCAACCACGAGCGACACGAGGAGCTCGTGGAGGGCGGATTATCTGATAAGTTGTCTGAACACGAGTCTTTTTCCGTGTTTGATGTAAACACTGAAACGGCGAGAAGAAAGCCGTCTTCTCTTGGGTAAATATTAAGACACGATACGACGTAAACTTTAGGAAGTTATTCGCCATTAAGAAAAATCAGGAGGAAACTTGATCTGGAGGAGGACCCCGATGCCTGTCGCTGAACTTTTCCTAAAAGTTTTGGATTGTTTCATTTAAGCGAGACTGAAGCAGGAAAACATTGTGACTTTTATTTTTGTGTTCAAAATAAAAGTGACAAACTTTTTTTGGAGACACTTCATGTGAAGAAGTCAGAGAATAGAAAGTCATGAGAAAACCTTGAAAACAGTCCAAACAAAAACAGGAACACTGAAACTTCAAAATAAAAGCAGCAATTAACAGACGCTTTTTAATTTGGACTCTTGACTCACTCGCCTGAGAGTCTCATGGAGTCCAGAAATCTTTTACACTGAGCTGTGTTTCATCCAAAATCAGACACTCCAGCGCCAAACAAACAAACAAACAAACAAACAACGAACGAACAGAAAACGCCGTCAAACCGACAGAATCAAAGTGCAGGTGCGTCAAAACAGCCTTCAAGAAGACGAAGAGGGAATGTTTGCCTTCAAACAGGCTGTCCCGTCACGAATCAGAGACAAAGACTGAAACTGGAGGAACGTTTATGAATCTATGTGAAGGTTCAACAGCTTTTCTGTTCAGAGTTTGTTCTGTCGTAATAATGAAGTTAAAAATATAGGAATGGGAATCAAGAGCTGGTTACCCTGATTCTGAGCGTAAACGTAGTTTTCTTCCATGGTTTCCTGATTAAAGTCTTAAAAACAAAAACTCGAGGTGGTCAGTTTAGTTAATGACCCGAGAGTCCAGGAAGAATCAGCATCGATCCAGCATAGGGGGCCTCCAGGGTCTGAAGAGTCTAGATCTAAAACAAGTGATGGTATACAATGAAACACAGGACAGGAGCAGTCCGAACCGCTCTTACAAAATACTGTTGGTGTTAAAAATGTTTAACTTTATGTAAAATCCACTCAGTTTGTGAGACCGGCAGCTTTTTGGAAATAAACTCTGAGTTTCTGCAACTTCCAGAAGATTTTTAGAGACTGTCTAAAGACGATCCAGTCCCCTACAATCACAGGAAGTCTGTTTTTGTGACAAAAATATTTATTAAAAACATTTTACAAAATCCTGAGAAACTCAAATTGGATTAAAAATGATAGAAAATCTGAATTTAATCATGTAATAAAAAATTTTAGGTAAGAAATTTTAAAAAATGAAAATGTCAAAAAATTTCAACATTTTACTAAACAAAAAGTAAAAAAAAATATTTTGTGAGATATTAAAGTCATTTAAAAAAAATTTGAAATATTTTGCTTTTTTTAAATCAAACCAAAAAACACGAGATTTTTAATTGTAAAAAAATTATTTTAAAATACAAAAATATATACCAAAATCTTAAAATATTTTTCTTTGTTTAAAACATTTAAGAAAATTTATAATTAAACAAAAAAAAAAATCATAAAATATTTTAATCACAGTTTTACTAAAAATTTAAGAACGTTATTTTTCAAAAGATTTTGGTTACACTTTTTTATTATTACCTGTTCAATTACATATCTAACACTACATTTTTGAAATGTGAAATTTTTTGTGATGTTTTACAAATTTTATTATTAAGTCTCGAGTAGTTTCCTCCGTTTGTCCTTTAAGAAACGTCTTAAATTAGAATTTGTCACTTTGGTTTTGGACTCGATCAGTGGAGATGAAACTTCTTTGACAGTTGAATGAAGTTTTCTTTAAAGTTTAATTTCAACAGTTACGTACGTGATTTAGCTTAAAGATGGAACAAAACGTCACAACAGGGGTGAAGCAGAAACCATATTGT